CCTGCCAAAAGTGTGGGAGGAAGAAACAGAAGACAGTAAATGTGTTTTCTAGAGCAACTTGGCTGACTAGGTAAGGAAAGAGTTTGTTCTTTGGAGGGGAGAATGGGATTAAGGGTCACAACAAGTGAGAGCCAGTGAGGTGGCTCAGTGGAAAAGGCTCTTGATTTACAAGCCTGACAACCTCAGTAAGTAAAAATAAGAAGAGACAGCAGACCCGGACAGCTCAGTGGTAGAGTGCTTGCTTGCCTAGCATGCACAAGGCACTGGGTTCAAACCTAGCACTGCAAAAGAAATAAAAACTTAAAAAGCAGATTATTACTATGCTGATTTAATGCTTTAATAGACAGAAAAATGAATGAAGCAGAAAAGATGGCACACTAATAGCCGAAAGAAAGGCTGGGATCTAGTCATAGGCAGAGGGGTGAATATGGTCGGGGCTACATTTTTGTATGCTATCCCTAGTACCAGAGGATGTCAGAAGAGGTGTGGGACCATCTGGAACTGGAGTTACAGATGGTTGTGAGTCACCACATATGTGGGTACTGGGAGCTGAACTTGGGTCCTTTGCAAGAGCAAAAAGTGCTCATAACTACTGAGCCATCTCTCCAGCCCCCAGTATTTTGTTAGTGTTAGTTCAATATGGGCTACTTTTATTACGTAAAATAATCAGCATTGTCAAATGTATTATTTCGTTTGTATTTTGAGAATTAAATACCAAAATAAGTAAATAGGGGTGGCACACAGCTCATTCAGTAGAGTACTTATCTAACATACATGGTTCTGAGTGACTTTCAGCCCCACAGGAAACAAGTGTGATGGTGCACACCTTTAATCCTGGTACTGGAGGGAGGGCGGTAGGACGATCAGAAATTCAGGATCAGGTTAGAACAAAGGGCTACATGAGACCCCCACCTCAAATTTTTAAAGTAATAGTGATGTAGTTGCAGATAAGATATAAATGGTCACATATGAATGGCTGGATTTGGGGGATAATGTAAGCAGTATTAGCAGTATGACTGGAAGCAGGGAGATCTGGGAGGTTAATAGGTATTTTGGGACAAGAGATAGAGGTCAGAGAAGGAAGTAGCTGTGGAGCGGGGAAAGAGCAGGTGTCCATGGAGTTCGGGATACAGTATGGCTCAAACTTGGTGGCTACCCTCTGAGAAGCTGTTTTGGAGTAGATGGAAATATCAGATATGAAGGAACTCACAAAGAAAAGAAGGCTAGGACACAGCTCTGGTTCAATGCAGACATAAGAGTAAGATGTGAGGTACAGCTGGTTTCCTGGCCTTCACCAAAACCAGGACTACTGGATATGCCAAGAGGTCTGATAAAATCCAGTGAAACAGATAACCCTGTTGATTGACTGTCCTGGGTATAAACACACTTGCTTCCAGAGAAGGGCTAATATTGTGGTTATTGATAAGTTCCTGGAGAAAATGACCGTGATTGCTTTGGGGGTGGTTGCAGGTCAAGGAGGAAATGGGTAGGAAGTTTGTAGGGTATGCAGCCAAGGATGAAAGGTTAGGACCTAGAATGCTTTGCTGAACCTCTCTGGTAGGCAGGTCTGGGACGGCAGATGGCTAAGTGGTAGTAAAGATCTGAGATTAGCTTGGAACTTATAAGAGAGTTCTGGTCCAGGGTTAGGGGCAGGTTTGATGATTGCCATCTTCTGCACTCCCCTTAGGCAACAGGACCTGTACCGAATCCTGAAGGCCTATACCATCTACCGGCCTGACGAGGGCTACTGTCAGGCCCAGGCCCCAGTGGCTGCTGTGCTGCTCATGCACATGCCTGCGGAGGTCAGCATATGTGGACCTGGTTGGGGTGGGGGTGAGAAAATCTTGACATACTATGGTGATGGGAGAGCTGCCTACTCCCTGCTTCTCAGGCCCCATCCCTGCCTCCTTGTTCTTGCCCTTCTTAGCAAGCCTTTTGGTGCCTGGTACAGATCTGCGACAAGTACCTCCCAGGTTACTACAGTGCAGGGCTGGTGAGTGTCTGGAAGCTGGGTGGCCTAGGGCTGTGACTTTCCCCAAGTCTGCCATAGGTCCTTGCCTTGCCTCATTTGTCCTTCTGTTCCTCTACCACTGAGGTTAAGACACCCTCTTAGGTTTGATTGTACCGAGGGGAACATAGCAAGACAGACCCATTTCTCATGGCTCTTCCCACCACTTCTAGGAGGCCATTCAATTGGATGGAGAGATCTTTTTTGCACTCCTGCGCCGGGCTTCCCCACTGGCACATCGGCACCTTCGGCGGCAGCGCATTGACCCTGTGCTCTACATGACAGAATGGTTCATGTGCATCTTTGCCCGCACCCTCCCCTGGGCTTCGGTGCTGCGTGTCTGGGACATGTTTTTCTGTGAAGGTATTTCAGTGGTTGCCTAGGCTCGGGTGCTAGGATTTGTCACATTACTGGTGGCCCATGGACAAAAGTATTGTTGGGCCTAGGCTTCATAATAAGCAATCTGCAAACAGGGAAAACAGGACCCATCTTGATTCAAGCCACCAACCTAGAGTCTGCTTGCCCTCTAAGAAACCTGCAACCTATAGTAACTTTCTTCACCTATAAGGTGGGCAGTTAACAGCAACAGGGTCTGTCTTTCCTATATGAGAAAGGCTAAGATCCTGGACCTGATCTCTTTATGCCCTCTCTGACCCTGTAGGCGTTAAGATCATCTTCCGAGTGGCTCTTGTCTTGCTGCGACACACATTGGGTTCTGTGGAAAAGCTGCGCTCCTGTCAAGGCATGTATGAAACCATGGAGCAGCTTCGAAACCTGCCACCACAGTGTATGCAGGAGGACTTCCTGGTGCATGAGGTAGGCCTTGAGCCTCAGCACACCTTGGTCTCTTCAGCCCATCTCCAAACCCATCTATACTCTGGCTCCCGTGTCTTCTGTCTAGGTAACCAACCTCCCAGTGACAGAAGCATTGATTGAGCGGGAGAATGCAACCCAGCTGAAGAAGTGGCGGGAAACTAGGGGGGAGCTGCAGTATCGGCCCTCACGGCGACTACATGGCTCCCGAGCTATCCATGAGGAGCGCAGACGGCAGCAGCCACCCCTGGGCCCTTCCTCCAGCCTTCTCAGCCTCCCTAGTCTTAAGAGCAGAGGTTCCCGGGCAGCTGGAGGGGCTCCTTCCCCACCACCTCCTGTCCGCAGGGCTAGTGCTGGTCCTGTTCCTGGGGCCGTCGTCACTGCTGAGGGACTACATCCATCCCTTCCTTCACCTACTGGCAACAGCACCCCACTAGGCACCAGTAAGGAGACCCGGCGGCAGGAGAAAGAACGGCAGAAACAGGAGAAAGAGCGGCAGAAACAGGAGAAAGAGCGGCAGAAACAGGAGAAAGAGCGAGAGAAGGAGCAGCAGAGACAGGAGAAAGAGCGGCTAAAATGGGAAAAGGAACAAGAGAAGGAACAGCAGAAGCAGGAGAAGGAGCGGCAGAAACAGGAGAAGAAAGGCCAAGGCCGGAAACTTTCCTTGCGTCAAAAGGCAGATGGGCCTCCAGCACCCCACGATGGTGGGGACAGGTCAGCAGCTGAAGCCCGGCAGGATGCTTACTTCTGACCTCTTGCTGGGTCTGGATGACATGGCCCTCTTCCTTTTTCCTCAGTCAAGAGCAGACCTAGCAGGGGTGTTCTCCCAGCTCCCTTGGCAGGCTCTTCCTTTTTCTGAGGAAAGTGGCTTGATTCCCCTGACTCCTTGCCAGCTGCTGATCCCTACATGGCCAGGACAGCTACAGTGCATGGGACAGTTATATTTCCTAGGGTAGCAGTGACCAAGTCTGGAGACTCTTTCGTCCAATGAGGCCCAGCTTGGGTCTCTGTCACTCCTACGAATTCCTTCTGGGGTACTGTCTTAATTTGCCTTTTGTCACCACAAGGTGACTCTTGGCAATGACAGTTAGCAGTTGCAGATTCTTACACTCCAGTGGCTTCCCTTAGATGGTGGAGCTAGGTTCCTTTTCCTGTCTTGGGGCCCTGCCTGTCTCCCCACTGGGGGCCAAGGCTATTTTTTTCTCTCCTGGATATCCTTGTGTTGTAATTATGTACAGAAGGTCAGGTTGGCCTGGGGTGGGGTGCTCTGACCTGTGTTCCACAGTGTTCCTGTACTCCAGTTTATTTAAGGGGACATGCAAGTTGTCCTCCATTTCCTTCCCACCTGTGTCCTGCTCTCCCTCCTAACCCACTTGCTTTGTATGCTCAAGCCTCTCTGCTGCCTCATTAGGAAGCCTGTCTTTCACTTTGTTCCTTTCCAGCTGTCAAGCCCCTCTCTGAGTAAGGGTCTTCCCTTGAGTACAGGGGGTGGAACCCAATGTTTACATTCTCTTCTGTCTTGGTCCCCATCCCAGTGGTGGTTTTGTGGCGCTTTGAGGAACCGGAAAAAGAACCTGCTGTTATACCTGGACCTGTCTCCTGCCTTGTTATTTAAAGAGGGCTTTGGGGTAAGGGGAGGGAACCAGGAAGAAAGTCTGAGTCTCCATAGGTGCATTCTGACCTTAGCAGGTACATCTAAACCCTTGCCCCATCTCTCATCAATAAGCGTAGTGGTCCAGCTCCTGCCTCAGCTTTGCTTGGGATCTGCTACCTCCACTATCACTGGCTTTCTGAGGCCCTCTGCACAGCTCAGAGCACTGAGATTTCCTTTCCAACCTGTTTGTGCACTCCTGGAAACTGAAGGAGGGCTATGGGGGGCTGCAAAGCCAGTCTTCAGGTTCTTGGTCAGCAGCTCGGTGCACTTCCTGGTACTGGGCTTCTAGGGTGGACTAGCTGTCTTCAGTTCGTCTCAGCAGGTGCACACAACCAATCGTCCAGTTCTTGTTTTCTGTGGCTACCTTGTAGTGTCATCCATCAACCGCCCCCGATTCTACCTAGGGGTCAGGATAGTAAAGGTATGGGGTTCTGTGACCCTAAGGTGGAGCTCCTCGTGGGAGGCAGTTAGTTCTCAGCAGGATGAGGCTCAGGGGTGTGTGGTCTCTAGATAGAAGAGAAAGTTCCCTCTGGGATGAAACAACAGTGCTAAGAGCTGGTGTTTCAGGATCCTCTCTGTAGCAAGATGCCCTCCTGGTCTAGGACTTGTGTTCTGTGTCCATGGAAGAAACTGAGGTCACACTCCCAGTGAAAATTTTGTGGTGATTCAGAATGGAGAAAAGCCTGCAGGGGAAAGGTGTGGTCCATCTGGCCGCCCTCATTCAGCTACTGCAGGATCACCTGAGCTATCTTGCTTGGGGGTGGAGGTGTTTCCAAGAGCTCCAGATCTAGACCTGCTGTAGAGAAGATTTCACCTGGCTCCACCTTTGCAGGAGCCGGATTCCATCACCTCAGCAGTTTGCTAAGGGGCAGAGTAGACTTCACTTGGTAACTGGTTCAAGAACTTTTCTGGGTGAACCAGAAGGCAAAGCATTATGGACTTCTGGCTGGATACTGGGCGCCGATGTCACTGCCGCTTCCTGTTATGGCTGTTCCACTGCAAAAACTAGGGAAGACATGAGGCAAATGACTCCCAGGGTCCTAAAAGATAAGTTTGAAAAGTCCCAAAGTGCTGACAATCAGAAATAGGACTCAGAAAGAAAAGCAAGGGTTTTTTGTTTGTTTGTTTTTAAGAGACGGTCTTACGTATCACCGATTGGCCTTAATCTCGCGATAATAACTTGCCTCTGTTTCCCCGAGTGTTGGGACTGTGAAGTTTGGGAAGGGTTTCTACTGAATGCCGTTAGGCGCAAAGAACCCTATCTATAAGGTCAAACTGGAACCCACAGCCTCCGCTTGGCCTTGTCCCTCCATCCAGGTCTTGGGCACCTCTTTAAGCAGACAGAGCGCCACGTCCTCAGCAGAACCTCCATTGTAGAGGAATAATAAACACTTCCCGCCATCCACAAGCGGGCGAGGCAGGTACGGGAGTTCACGTGATTGGTTTTTGTGCTACGTCACTTCCTGCGAAGACTGCCTTAGCTTATGGTATACATCCGCCAGTACCGACAGTCTTTGGGATAGGAGTGAAACTACTTCCGGCCCTCATGGCGCCCTCCAGAGTTTCCTTCCGGGTGATGGAGGCGAGTGGCCCGGATGTAATACTGGCGAAGGCATCTTTCCTTTTCTTCCCCGCCTGACTCTGGGTTCCTAGGTGAGTGCCGGCTGATAATACTACTGTTCGGGTACCTGCGGATTTGCTTCCTTTGTAACTTGTACGCCGAATGTGACGTGGTCGAGCTGGTCGCTGCGTGGAGTTGGGGGTTCGAAGCAGCTAGGGCGCCAGCTCTTGGGTCTGACCGGCCTCTGAGGACACTTGGGTGGGAGAGCTGGTTGAGCTCTGTAGCCCGGACTGGTAGGGAGAGATGACGTACTGGAGCCCTTTCTTTCCTGGGTGGGATATCCACAGGGTCCACGCGGAGGCGGAGGTCCTTCACGTATCCTCCCCTCAGCGCCTCCGAATTGCTAAACCAGTTCCGGACGTCCTGCCTGCTGGCTCTTATGGTTTAGTGATCCTTCCTCTCTCAAACAGGACCCGGTACTTACCAAGAAAAATGTGTGTGGTAACTGGTCTTTCTCGCCGCCGGCTCTCCTCACCTAATTTCCTTACGCCCTATCTTTATCCTAGGTCCAGTCATGCCAAAGAGGAAAGTGACTTTTCAAGGAGTAGGAGATGAGGATGATGATGATGAAATCAGTGTTCCCAAAAAGAAGGTGAGATGATGAGACTCCTGAGTTCTGTGGATCACTGAGGGGAAATAAGAGAGAGGCTTCTGATGGGAGGAACGCTGGGAAGCGGAAGAGTTTTCCCCGTGCACTGGTTTGGAAGGTTTCCTGTTTGGATACAGATCCTAGAATATTTGGGAAACTAGCCAGTAGGTTGCTTTTCTCATTTGCTACTTCCTTCTCACAGTTGGTGGACCCTGTGGCCGGAGCAGGGGGTCCTGGGAGCCGCTTCAAAGGCAAACACTCTTTAGACAGTGATGAGGAAGATGACGATGAGGAGGGCTCCAGCAAGTATGATATCCTGGCCTCAGAGGATGTGGAAGGTGAGCTATTTCCGAAGTTAGCTGTGGTGGGGGGACAGGTCAGAGTGTGGAACGGGGAGGCATGCCTGTTTGATTTTTGCATGCCTGGCATGGGGCCCCCATGTCTTTGGTGCAGGTCAGGAAGCAGCTACTCTCCCTAGTGAGGGGGGTGTGAGGATCACACCCTTCAACCTGCAGGAAGAGATGGAGGAAGGCCACTTTGATGCTGACGGCAACTACTTCCTGAACCAGGATGCGCAGATCCGAGACAGCTGGCTGGACAACATTGATTGGGTGTGGCCAGGAGCTCTTCTGACTGAGGCCATGAGATGCAGGTGGTGGGCCTGGACCCTGGTGGAAGTTTGTAGAAAATAATAATTATCTTTCACTTATAGGTGAAGATCAAGGAGCGACCACCTGATAAGCACCAGGCTTCAGACTCTGAGGAGGAAGATGGCGTGGGTCAGACTCCAATGAGTGCCCAAGCCCTCCTGGAGGGACTTTTGGAGCTGTTGTTGCCAAGAGAGACAGTGGCTGGGGCACTTAGGCGCCTGGGGGCCCGAGGAGGAGGCAAAGGGGACAGTAAGGGGACTGGACGGCCTAATTCCCCACAGCGCCTAGACCGGCTCTGTGGGTTGGCTGATCAAATGGTGGCCCGCGGCAATCTTGGTGTGTACCAGGAAACAAGGGAAAGGTTGGCTATGCGACTGAAGGGGTTGGGGTGTCGGACCCAGGGATCCCATGACCCTACGCCTCCACCCTCCCTGGACATGTTTGCTGAGGAAGTGACAGAGGGGGAACTAGAAACCCCAACCCCTACCCATAAAGGAGGTAAGCATGGAAGGCACAGGAGGGGCAGTGTGGGTGGGAGACTGAGCCCTTGAGGCCCTGATCCCTTTGTTGTTGTAGAAGCAGAGGCAGTGGGAGATGGTCTGATGGACGTGATGTGGGAATACAAGTGGGAGAACACGGGAGACGCTGAACTGTACGGACCGTTCACCAGTGCCCAGATGCAGGTGAGTCCCTTCCTGTCTTACCTACCCGTCCCAGCTTCTGTCACCTTTCTTCAGTTTTGTCCTTTCTTTCTGCAGACCTGGGTGAGTGAGGGCTACTTCCCGGATGGTGTTTATTGCCGGAAGCTGGACCCTCCAGGTGGTCAGTTCTACAATTCCAAACGCATTGATTTTGATCTCTACACATGAGCCTGCTAAAGGCCCAGTATGGCAGCCCCTTCTTTCTTGGACTTGGCAGAGGAAGCGCCAGCTGCCCTGGGCAGTGAGGATATTGGAGGCCAAATCTCAGCCAGTTTTTCTTTCCCAATAAAAGCCTTGAGTGTGTGTGCATCAGGGCCTGGACTGTGCTGAGAACCAGGAGCCAGGGTTTCTCCTCAGCTTGAGTGTTTCCTCCTGAGAGCTTCTCCTCAGGTGCTTTTCCCTGGTGTCTGGGACCAGCTCGGTTTGTTCTCCACCCTTAGTGGCAATGGTAGGGCCTGCCCGGCATCCTGTGACCTGCCGTGTAAAATTCCCTCAGCCACTCTCATCTTCCTGCAAGTCCTGCTCTGCTGACCTTTGGCTTTTAGGACTCAGATTCTCTAGCCTGTCGGCCCTCTTGCTGCTGGGACATGTGAAAGAGTTTGAGACCCGATTGAGAGCGCACAGGAAGCCTCTTAAACATGGATGCTCTTCCCTCTCATCCAGTTTTTCTGTCCCTTGCAGTAGTTCCCATGGCTCTTAGGTGAAGTGTACACTTGATAACTTTTCAAAGCTGCTTGGTCCACCATGCAGTGTAGAGGCACAGAGAGCAGCAGTGACTTCCTGGAGATCACGCAGTAAATTAGAGAGCTGGCCCAGACCCAGTCAACTGCTTCCCCTGACCTTTCTTGGCATAAAGTTCTTTCTTCCTTGGTCTTTTGGGTCCTGCAGTTTCTATTTTCCGGGCTTCCACATCTTTGGCATAGGGCTGGTGCCTTGAGGAACATGACTGGACTGGTCCCCTCCAGGAGTGCTGAGTGCTGCGGGAGGCAGGCACGGTCCTGACGACAGTGCTTCACGCCCGCCGGTGCTGTCCTGAGCCCCCCTCACCTGTGCACCCTGGACATGGAGGTATCCCGAGAGCCGCAGAGCATAGGAGCCAGGCTGGGAATGTGGAAAGTAGGGGCTCTGGCTTGGTTGGGGTGCTGGATGCATTAGTTCACTGCCAGTCTAGACCACAGTCTTCCTGACTTGGAGAAGCCCATTAGTGGTAAGACATCTACTTACCGTTAGTTGTAAGGTGTTACTGGTTAAAGGATGGACTTCTTTCAGAGATATTTAATAGTGGAAAGTTGGTGTCTAGGGTGAGTGAAATCCGGTCATGTCGGTAGCCTGAGTGAGTGATCCTGAGTGTTCGGTGAGACGACACCAGGTCCTTCCCTGAGGTGTCCTCCAGGTTCCTCAGATTTGAGCTACCATTCTGTGTGCCCTTCCCTGATGACATCAGTCCCCGAGAATAGCCTCCTCCAGAACCCAGACCCTGTGAATGTGCTTTATGTGGCACAGGGGGAAAGTGTCATGCAGATGTGGTGAAGTTAAGAATTTTTTAAAAATTTTTTTGAGATGAGGTCTCATTGTGTATCCCTGGCAGGCCTGGAACTCATAAGAGATCTGCTTGCCTCCAGTCCCGAGTGTTGGGATTAAATGTGTGAGCCACAGTGCATAGCAAAATAGAGAATTTTTGAAACTGGGAGATTACCTTTGATTATTGGTTTGGGACCATTGTAATCACTGGGTCCTTATGCTGGAAAAGGAACTGAGAGACTCAGCAAGAGAGCAGAGGACTGTGTCGGAAACACGGGAGAGAGACATATGCGTCGGGTGCAGGTGGCCTGGAGAAACGAGAAAGACAAATGGGTTCTTCCCAGACACGCGCAGCAGAGCCTTTGGTACCCAGGGAAACTGACTGTGGGCCCGTGACCTCCAGGGAACCCAAGGAAACTAACTGTGGGCTCGTGACCTCCAGGACTGTAAGATAATAAATCTGTGTGAAGTCACTTGTGGTGTGGTCATTTGATAGAGCACCAATAGGAAGTGAATATACACCTACTCTCTGGAGAGCCCCAACCACTTTTGAACCCTATTAGTGTTCGCCAGAGTTCTTTGTAGTTCACCCAGCCAAGCTCTCACCAGGCCCAGCCTCGCTTAGGTTTTAAGATTGGATACAACATTCAGGGTAGTATAACCATGTGCTTTCTCAGCACAAAGCCAGGAATTGTTTGGATGGGGTTTGGTTTTGTTTTTTGAGACGAGGTCTCCCTATACTCTGGCTGTTCTGTAATTCAAAATGTAGACTAGGCTAGTCTTCACTTGCAGAGATTCACATGCTGCTGCCTCCCAAATGCTAGGTAAACCACCTCCCTCCCCAGTAATAAAACTACAATGTAATTAAAAAGAAAAAAGCAAAAAACAGGCTGGAGAGATGCCTGGGCAGTTAAAAGGACCAAGGATTGATTCCCAGTTGTTACACCTTGGTTCACAATTGTCTGTTCCAGGGACTGTCATGATGTCATGCTTTTAGCTTCTGTAGGCACCGGGCACACATGAGGTACAGACATAACATGCAGGCAAAGCACCCATAACACGTTTCTTTTTGTTTTCGAGATAGTTTTTTTGTACCTTTGGAACCTGTCCTAGAACTCACTATATAGACCAGGCTGGCCTTGAACTCACAGAAATCTGTCTGCCTCTGCCTCCCGAGCACACTGCCACCACCACCTGGCTTTTTTTATTATTATTATTAAAACAACTGAGCAGTGTGGCTTTAGCAGACGACTTCATTCTCTAGCCCTGGTGATCCCTGCCAACACCGTCTACCTGGATTTGTGGGTGTTTTGGATAAATGGAACCGTACAGCATGTGATATCTTCTGTCTTGCTTTTTATACCTGTTTTTAGAGTTTATCCATGGTATAGTATGTAACTTTTTTCCCTTCTTTTGAGGGGTGGGTTGGGGAGGGGGATAGGGTTTCTCTATGTAACCCTGATTGGCCTGGAAACTCACTATGTAGACCAGCTGACCTCAAATCTAGAGGTCTGTCTACTTCTGTCTTGAGTTCTGGGATTAGAGGCCTGTCCCACCACGACAGCCCACGGACTTCATTCTTTTTTGTTTGCTTGTCTTTTGGATGGATAGTATGTTACTATTACCTAGGCTTTCCGTTTTATTTGGGTTTTACTGATTCTCGCTTACTGCCTTTAATTTTTATTTTTAAATGTGATGCAAGAGATGGAACCCAGGACTTTAAACAATCATTTTTTATTAATTGAGAATTTCATACAATGTATTTTTAGTTATATTCATTTCCTTTCCCCCAGAGCCTCTCCTATCCAACCTTATTTCCTACCCACCCAAGTTTGAGGGTTTTTTATTCTCCACCAAGTCCACTTTGTGTTGCCCAGGTACTCTTGGGAGTGGAATGAAACCCAGGGGTTTGCATCTGCCAGACAAGCCAACCCCCACTGAGCTACATCCCTAGTCCTTCAGAGTTTCTCTGAAAACTCCATCTGTGTGCACACTTACACGTGCACTTTGTATGTGTGGACAGCGGATGGGGTCTTGTGAATCCTGGGGACCAATCAGGTTGCTTGGCTTAATAGCAAATTTCTTTCCCAGCTGAACCATCTCATTGGCCTCTCTTTAAAAATATTTTATTTCTTGGTGCCCAAGCTGGCCTTGATGAATCTTCCTGTCCCAAGCCCTTGACTGTTGGAGTTAGGTGGTGTGCCATACCCAGCTATTCTGTTCACTTGACATTGTTAATGGCTGCCTACTGCTCTTCAGGTGAAACGCCAAAGCTGGAAGCTATTTGGGAAGGTCTCCCATGTAATTCCAGCCCTCTTTTTTTTTTTTCCCTCCACATTACTAGCCCCAGGCTGCTAAACGGAGCGGATCATTTCAGTTCCCCAAGCCTGGCCACTGTCTCTTTTCCCTGTCCCTCCCTCCCCCACCCTGTCTTAAGGAAAGATGTCCCTTGTGTCAGTTTTTGAGGTCTCAGCCCACGGTTGCTGTGAGCCCGTGGTGAGGCTGAACATGGTGCAGAAGCTGTCAGGGACGTCGGGCACGTGATGCTGGCTGAGGATGCGCTGTGTTCATTTCTGCTGTGGAACATTGTTTAATGATGCAAAGCTGTGCTGCGTTCTTTTATGTTACAGTAACTCTGTAAAGTTGTGTTGCTTTGCCTGCCTAAAGCACCTAATAAAGAGCTGAATGGCCGATAGTGGGGCAGGAGAGGGATAGGTGGGGCTGGCAGGCAGAGAGAATAAATAGGAAAAATCCAGGGAAGAGTGAGGAGTGGGAAAAGAAGGAGGTGAGGAGGACGCCAGGGGCCAGCCACATAGCCATGGAGTAAGTGGGGAAGAAAGATGTATAGAATGAAGAAAGGTAGTTAAAGAGAAATGGGATAATTTAAGTTAGCAAAGCTGGCTAGAAATAAGGAAGCTAAGACCGAGCATTCAGAAGTAAGAATAAGTCTCCATGTGTTTATTTGGGAGCTGGATGACGGGCCCTCAAAGAGTTTTAAAAAAGAAAAAAAAGATTTTACTTTGGGCTTCCTGGGTTCCTGCTCCCCACTTGCCAGCGTTGGTGATTGTTTCTTCCACTGAGTCTGTAGCTCAGGTGTGTGATTCAGCACAGAAACCACCCCTCCCACTCACGGTTCTCCATAGCCTTAGAGCCAGCAGATGGCAGGAAATGGCCCTGTTTCCTGTCTGTTTCCAGAGACAACCATCTCCAGGCAGGCCAAAGAGGGTGTGATGCCTAGGTATGGCTCATACCTGTAACCCCAGCCTTGTTGAATCTGAAGCAGGAGGATCAGGAACTTTTGAGCTATTTGCTTTGCTGACTAAGAAGATAAGATGTAGTTTGGATGGTGGTGTATAGACATCTGAACCCAGAGGGCATTGGTGTGCGTCTTGGTTAATGTGGGTTGTTTTTCTTTTTTTTTTTTTTTCTGTGATAAAAACATGATCTAAGCCAGGTGGTGGTGGCACACACCTTGACCAGTCTCTGAGTTCATTGCCAGCCTGGTCTGTGGAGAGTCCAAGACAGCCAGGGCTACACAGAAAACCTCTATTTTGAAAAACAAAACAAGGGCTGGAGAGATGAGTAAGAGGTTAAGAGCACTGGTTGCTTTTCCAGAGGTCCTGAGTTCAATTCCCAGCAACCACATGGTGGTTCACAACCATCTAGAATGAGATCTGGTGCCCTAATTCTGGAGTGCAGTCGTACATGCAACCAGGATACTGTACACATAATAAATAAAATCTTTGAAAAAATAAGAGAGAGAGAGAAAAAATGAAACAAAAGCCAAGAACAAAACATCGTGACCAAAAGCAACTTCTTGAGGAAGGGTTTATTTCACTGTTTAGCAATCAGGTCAAGAGCCAGTCAGGGCAGAAACCAGGAGGCAGTAGCAGAAGCGGAGGCCATGGGGAATGCTGCTTACTGGCTTACTCCCTCTGGCTTGCTTGGCCTGCTTCCTTGTGGCATCTAGGACCACCATCCCAGGGTGGGATGGCCTACACTATGTACTATAGGGACTGGAGAAATGGTTCAGAGGTAAAGAGCACTGGCTGTTCTTCCAGAGAACCTGAGTTCAATTCCCAGCACCTACATGGAGGCCCCCAGCCATCTGTAACTGGCTCTAGGGCAGTTGTTCACAACCTATTGGTTGTGACCCTTTGGGAGTCAAATGACCCTTTTACAAGGGTCACCTAGGACCATCAGAAAACATATATTTGCATTATGATTCATGACAGTAACAACATTACTAAGTAGCAATGAAAGTAATTTTATGGTTGGGGGTCACCACATGAGGAACTGTATTAAAGAGGCACAATATTCGTAAGGTTGAGGACCACGCTTTAGGGAATTGGCTGTCCCCTTCTGGCCTCCATAGGCAGTAGACATACAGGTGGAGCATAGACACACACACAGCACAACACCCGTACACATAAAAGGAAAAAGAGTGGGGGACACATTCTGAGCAGTGCATCATTAGGTGGTTGTTTTTTCATTTTCATACAGTGTCATTGTGCCAGAAACAATGTGTGTGTTACTGCACAAACCTGAGTGGTGTGACCTGTCACACACCTGCCATTTGGGTCCTCTGCTGCAACCCTGCATGTGTGACGTGCTAAACGTGAGGGACAAGTGTAAGGCAGTGGGAATATGTATGCCTAAGCATGGAACAAGACCAGTAAATATGCCAGGCAAGTTACTGAACCTAGACACTTTCAGGACAACCGGATCAACGCCTATTCTACAGGCTGCATGCCTCCAGAGGGTCCAGGGAGAGGACTAATGCCCCGCCTCTGCGTGGGTGGCCCCAGAGGAGCTGTTGACAGGAGGGTTATAGAGAACCTTGTTACCACCAGCCTCCCAGAACTGCCCTTCTTCCCACCGGGAACCCGAGTTATTTGCTCCTTCATGTTTCTTTCCTTCTTCCTCTTCTCTCTCCACCCCCAACTCATTATGTAGTCTGAATTCCTGTTCCTGCTACAACCCTACAAGTCTAGAATGACAGCTCTGTGTCACCATATCTCTCTGAGATAAGGGTTCTCTGTGTAGCCCTGGCTGTCCTAGAAATTGCTCTATAGACCAGGGTAGCCTCGAACTCACAGAGATCTGCCTGCCTTTGCCTCCCGAGTGCTAGGATTAAAGTGTGCACCACTGCCAACCTGTAGTAATAGGAACAGTGGACTGCATTCCCGGCACCCTGCGGCCCAGCTAGTTTTACCTGAAATAATTACACAGAAACTGTATTTATTTAAACACTGCCTGGCCCATTATATCTAGCCTCTTATTGGCTAACTCTCACATATTGATTTAACCCATTTCTAATAAATCTGTGTGTCACCACGTGACTGTGGCTTACTGGGAAAGATCCTTGCCTATGTCCCTCTCAGGCCGGAGATTCATGGTGTCTGCCTGACTCTGCTTCTTTCTCCCAGCATTCTGTTCTGTCTACTCCACCTATCTAAGCTGCTGTCCTATC